CTTCAAGGTTGCGAGTCAAACGATCTCAGATGTTCACAACGTGCGCACAGAATGTGGTCATGGACAGTGTAGATTTGAAGAAGCTGATACCGATAGCTCTAGAAAGCTATTGCCATTGTCCATGTCTATAGGATTCAAAAACCTTTCATTATAGCAACCGCGACATGTGGCAGTCGGTATACTTGAAGTCGCTATGGAAGGAAATGGCTATGTTGTGAACGGTACGTTTTGTGTTCGATAACAACGTGCGCCGGTCAAAGTTTTGTAATCTTGTCAAATTCTGTCTTCAATGGACCCAATTCGACCCGATCCGATCCACAATGGGCACCACCCGGTATTACTTATACACTGGCTGATTGAAAAAACGGTGAAATAGTAAAAGTTCAACGCCCCTATCAATACTATTAGGTTATTTAAAAGGCTGGTCCTCCAAGTTTTAACGTCCATCTCCGAAAGGACCGAACCAAATAGAAAATTCGTGTAAAGTGTCTTTCCCAAGGACACAACATCGGACCGGCTGCGGGTCGAACCCCCGAACCCGCAATCTCAGGATTACGGGTCCGGTAGCCTAAGCACTAGGCTACAGACGCCACGGACTGATTAATACACAGGCAGATTTACAAACCCACAAAAACATAAACAGACAAACAGACATGGTTACGAACTGACATAAGTAAATATTTACATAGATAAATACGGAACGTGACAGATGCACAGACTAGCACAAAAAAAGAGACCCGTAGATGCTTGGTTTTGTGTCATAATTTGTACAGGTTATTACTCGCCTGTTGTTAACAACAGCTGAAAGTTACATTATCCCCTCTACCACCAAACTCCAATTTACCTCTTACCTCTTGAAAGTGCTCAAACCCCTATTATTCATTCATTCATTCATTCATTCATTCATTCATTCATTCATTCATTCATTCATGCATTCATTCATTCATTCATTCATTCATTCATTCATTCATTCATGCATTCATTCATTCATTCATGCATTCATTCATTCATTCATGCATTCATTCATTCATTCATTCATGCATTCATTCATTCATTCATTCATTTATTTATTTGTTATATTTTAATTAATTAATTTCTTATTTTATTTCATTTTATTTATTTATTATTGTTTTTTTGTTGTTGTTTTTTTAGGGGGGGGAGGTGGTATATGATGTGCTCTCCATAACTAATAGTCCATCTGGGAAGTGGCCACTGCAAGATTTCCTTCCACTTGGTAAAGCAAATTAGATAACTCGTATTTACAAATTCACCAAACAGTAAAGAATTGGCTTGCCGTCACAATACTTTTAGCTCGACTGCGGAAGAGCAATTGCGTAAAATATACTTGAAAGCAAATTGATAACACTGAAACAGTACCCCTATTCCCAAACGTAATCCTAACCCTATATTCAGCCGCTATTAAGGTGCTGTGTGTGAACTACATGCACGTACCATCTCAATAAAAGAGTTTCTTTCAACCAATATAGGTCGCACGACCTAGACTCCCAATATTCTAGAATAAAAGGAACAACAACAACAACAACAACAACAACCACAACAACAACAACAATAACAGCAGCAGCAGCACCACGACCAACAACAACGGCAACAACAAAAACAACAGCAACAACAACAACAATAACAACAACAACGACAACAACAACAAAGAAATCTACGACATCCACTTATTGCAACCGAAGAACTGTAAGGTTCTGCCTTCGTTGTGAAACTCAAGAAGGTCGACCTCTTCGGTTCTTGGGTCTAGCTCCAACGCAAAAATAGTATAACAAATAAGAGGCCAAATCGTCTCATGGGAAACTAGTGTTAGGACCGGAAAAAATGTTTTAATTACGTTATCTATTTTTTAAAAGAAATCAACAACAACAACAGCAACAACAACAGCAACAACAACAGCAACAACATTTGTAAAGTCACGTTTTAATTAAAATGGGTCGGGTGGAAAAGAAAGGCGGGTTGTGGGAGTGGGGGAAGAGGGGGGAGAGGGTGTTCGGTTGTGTGGTGGTGGTGAGGCTTGTACTGGTGGTGGTCGGTTTAGGTGTGGGGGTGTAAAGGGGTAGGCGGTTGGACCATAAGTGGCACCACGCACCCATAGCATCTTGTCCTGAAGAAGTTCTATGAGGCACTTGACGTCACGATTACCACCTTGGTGTGGGCGACTCGAGGGTCGAGGAACGGTCGCATCACGCTCTTGAGATGTACGACACGGCTATATGGAGAGCTCTGCAGTTGAGGGACTTCTAAGGGACACCTGCGAGAGAACACGATTGGGGGGACATTAAAAAAAAAAAACACCCAAAAAACCGTGAGGTTTATGTCCTGCGTGACTTAGAAATAGTGTGTTGTGTGGTGTGGTCGGTGCTTTCCAAGATGGTTTTAAGAAATAAACAATGATGATGATGATGATGATGATGATGATGATGATGATGATGATGATGATGATGATGATGATGATGATGATGATGATGATGATGATGAAAA